ACAACATGCCATTTGAATCACATTCCTCCTTCAATTTCGTGGAATTTCAGAATCTTATTTAGTCCTCACTGCCTGATCTTGAAGTTTCCTGTTCCAGTAGCTTGAATATCTGTCTCTGGTATGTTCCTTTTTTCCTACTCATTTCCTCACACAATACCACCTCATATAAATCAGCCAGAGGCTTTATTTTAATCTTTTGGAGATTTTTAAGACTTTAGGGCTCACACAGTATGTTGAAAACTTTTGTAATATATTACATGGATAAATGGATCCTTCAGCAATAACAAATTCTTCTTTCTTGGAAGTCTACAGTGTAGAGCTTGAAGACTGTTGTGTCCAGAGGTGCGGGTAGCAAACAATTTTACATTTTAGCTGATCTTCTTGACAGCATACTCTTAATTTTCCTTCTTTTTTATTTGAAAATATGTAAACTGGCGATTAGTTCTTCAGGAAGGTCTTTTGTCAAGCATTCCTTTATTCCCAAATTAAACATAAAGAATACTTAGTGGTTGGAAATATTACTTTCTTAGTCTGATCTTCAGTAAAACTGTGTTAAGTTGTTTCATATGGATTTCCTGATGCTTCCAGAAATAGCTGAAGATCTCTTCATCTATCTTAAATGAAAAAAAAATTATTCTTTGTTAGACCCAGACAGATTAAAAGCTTCCTTAGCTTTTCTGGTGGCCTCCATTTTAGAAGATAAGTTATCAGTCTTTTCTCTGAATGAGTTGAAAACCACAACAGAGACTCGTGCTAATGCAGAATAGGATGATTGATTGTGGAGATCCAGCACATATTTGGGAGGAGTAGAGTCTCTTTTCTCTCGTTTCCCAGATTTAGTACATGCCATCACATGCTGGTCTGATTATTCTTACTATCGCTATCAGAATTTCTTATGATTATTTTCTTCAATTTTTTTAATGCACTGGTTTTTCTCTGGTGAACAGCTCCTTCAAAATGATTTTAAATTGACCATCTTAAGATTTAATGGACAGTATTTTATTTTAAGTCCTTGTAGATAATAGGTATTCACTTTTCAAAACCATCTTGCCATAACTTGACTACCCCCTGAGGTTTTTCCCAGCAAATGGATGTGGATGTGGATGTTACTGCAACCAGTAAACATATTAGATGGGTTGAAAACATGGATTTTGATCTTATGCTGCATCAAAACACTGATCTTAAGCAATAAAATTATGACCAACATTTTCTAATCAAAACTAATTAGGGTGCCAATCCTTCTTTTTATGGCTGGTCTATATTGTTGTTTGTTCCATGTGCCTTAATTAGCCTTGCTAAGGCCAAGGGCAGTTGTTTCTTTCCCTGTACATGTAGTGCTTTACAGCATTATATTATAGCCAATGGTTCCTTAGAAACCAGGGGAGCTTTTGAAGGAGAGATGTTACATGAATACAAGAAGGTCAACCTAAAATTGGCCATGCAGTTGCATCCCAAGCCAATTGCACCTTCTGAAAATTCTTAAATTATACCCAGTGGTTCCTTAGAAACCAAGGGAGCTTTGAAGGAGAGATGTTACATGAATACAAGAATGTGAACCTAAAATTGGCCGTGCTGTTGCATCCCAAGCCAATTGCACCTTTTGAAAATTCTTCAAGGGCATTCCACATAGAATGTATTGCAATAGCCCACTGGGACTCTTATCTCTCAAAAGTATATGAATGATTGATATACACGAATGAATATACGCAGGAGATATTGAAGGTTAAATCATTTTAAAACTCTCCATTCTGTGTTTCTTTTCACAAAAGAATCAATGTAGCTTATTGGGTAATAAAAAAAAAAGTCTTGGAAATCCCAGACAGATCCTGCAAAAACATTTAGGACATCAATCCTTGCCATGGTTTCTTATATCTTTATGTATTAAAGGTTTCTAATTTATTATTCTTTATGACTATAGTTTATATATGGTATATGTGTGTGTGCATACCTATACATAATACATATATACATATTCTACTTAATATATATGAACCATGTGAATATAAATTGCAGAAATTAACAAACAAGTGAAACCAAATAGATTTAACAAATGAATAAATGAAGAGGAGAGAGAAGATTTTCAGTGTCCAGCATTTCTGACTATTTGTTCTAAAGAAATGTGATCTTCAATACAAAAAAAAAAAAAATCCTCTTGTATTTTAAAACTTCATAACTAGCATCTCAAGTCCCAAATAGATGAAGTCAATAACTTTCAACAGTTTCACAGTTTTTTATTTTCATAATGTATTTCTAATCTTATTTCACTTCTAGGCAACTTCATCTAGGCTTGTTTGTTTATTTATTTATCATTGGAAGGGTTATCCTCCTCTTATGGGAAACAGAATAATTTTGCAGCCAATAAAAGTCAAAGACAACTTGATGACTATAAAAAAGATAAATCAGGCAATTGCCTTCCATATGCACTTGGCTATTCCCTGTGCAACTGGTATCAAAGGAGTATCTAATTGAATCATACATAGAAATAGTTTGTATTAATGACACATTTATTCACACTATTCTCACATCTTTCCATATATCTCAACTACTACTACCAATCATTGCTCATCAACCTAGTGATATATGCCAATCCTTTCTTCATTTAATCCTTCACCCTTTGTTATCAAAACAAGCCATTTCTCCTTCCCTACGTCCCATACATACACTCACAGAGTGTAGAAAGAGAACCTCTACACTGCAACCTACAATTATGGTTGCAATTGTTGGAAAGAGCTTTGAGTTGCAAAATTACAATGTCAAGCCATCATCACAGTTTTCTATGTGAATTTATATCATAAGAATGACATCCTAATAGCCACAGCTCAGAGTGTTGTTGATTGTTTTTGTTTTTTGCAAAACACTTAAACATATACTCAATGTATTGAAAACTTGAAAGGAGGCTAGCACTTTAATTCCTCCTCCTGTCTGTCTACAAATGTGGTAACAGTGAACAGAAATTGTATATTTTGTTCATTCATACTGGTCAGCTAGAAGAAACAGAACTAGACACTGCCACTCAGCCTTGGCACAACCTCTCTTTTTCACTTGCACTGCTGAACCATCAGAATCCTACTATATATGTACTACTAAAGTTCTCACCATGAACTTTAGATGGTGAACCAATGCATGATAGGGTAACATTTTTGAACAAAAGTATCTCAAATGGGCTAACTTTTACAGATGGTGTCCAAAATCTAGGGCCCATGGCAGGGGTAAAATGCACTTACCTTCGCTACCGAATCGGAAATGTGGACGCGCACCCCTCTTCTGTGCATGCGCAGTGCCTTCTGTGCATGTGCAGAGGGTCAAAAACAGGACGTGATGACCTCCCAGCAGGTGGGCGGAGCCTCCTGCCACTGCCCTACCAGCTCACATGAGCCGGATAGATCCGGCCAGATTTTACCGCTGTCTAACAATGAAATAAAATTTAGGAAAGTTATGACTGCTTCCATGCTATGGGCTGCATCTTTTTTTTTAATCAGCAGTCAAATGATCGGATAGATTTAATCGCAAGAGTATTCAACTTGAAGAAAAAATTGTTCCTGAAGTATCTCATTGGAACAAGTGGTCTTTTTGGTAGGTGTATTGATTACATGCTAAGTGTAACCTACCAAAAGCAGGTTCTGCCTCATTTGTATTGTCTGCCTTGGCCTGATGAATAATCTAAGCTAAGATCCTAAGTTTATGGTACATTTTTGCAACCTGAAATATCAGACTCAAATGAAGATCCAGAACTGCATACATTTGTATTGAAGCACATGATACATACACCATATTGTAGCAGAAACTCAGCATGTTGGAAAAATCATACAAATGATTTTTTACATCGTACCCAAAGCCATTCAATAAACATACATGGTGTGGTGATGATTCATAATTACAGGAAATGGTCTTCGGAAATGGGAGGCTTTGAAGATGCTTGATGTTCCAAGCAGGATGACAGATTTGATCTATAACTTCTCAATGGGTTGTACCCTATAATACACAATTGGCGCTCAATTGCCATCTCAATGTAGAAATGTGCTCATCTGTCAAATCCATCAAATATGTCATCAAGTATGCCATAAAAAAGGAGCAACTGGGTAATGTTTGCATTGAGCAGAGAACATGATTCATTTGCAAAAACACTGTACTGCATGAATATCCCAAGATTCTACAGTTGGACTAATAAAAGATGGGAAACAAGGAGCATTTGGAAAAGAAGAGAGCAGTTTTCCAGAACTTTTGAAGCCATTGTTCTTGGTCAAGTGTATGCCATTTTTCCACAAAGTGGTGACCTCTACTGTTCGTTCATTACATAAAAGAGCTAGTATCTTTCAAATTATTAAAGACACATAATATGTCACTCAAATATGTGTGCAAAGAGAAAAGATTGTTGCAAGCTGATGATCATTGGCAATAAACTACTGAAAGAACAAAAATCCCCATGGCAATGAGAGATGTGTTTGTTGTTTTACTAACAAACACTGATATCAACAATCCATGACAGTTGTGGAATAGTTAAAGAAGGCAATGACTGAAATCTTCCTTTAAATTAAGAGGAAAAGTATCAATGACCCTAATATCATGGGGTATAAGAGACATCATGGAAAAGTTCTTCTGTATTTCCAAGAAAAACTTGAGAAATTCAGAAAAACACTTGAAGAATATAGCTTGTCAAAACCAACAAACAGCACAATTAATCAAAATTGTGGCAATCATGGATTATTGCATGAATTGCAATGAAATTGAAACAAACAGCAGAGAGTTGTACAGCCATTTTTGAATAATGAGCAAAGCCTGCATATCACTATGACTGGATATCTTAGTGCTTGCAAAGCAATCTTGCATCAGCAATTTTCACTAACACATCAGGAGGAATGGAAAAGACATTTGTTATCAACTTGATCCTCACTAAAGTTAGGGGAGATGGAGAGGTTGCTATTGCTGTAACGTCACCTGGTTTTGCAGCAATACTGATGCCAGGTGGTAGGCTAGCACATTCAAGATTCAGGATACCCATCTGAGTGAATGAAATGTTCTTTGTACCATTGGAAAAAAAGGTCCAGTACTGCAAAATTTGCTTCAAATTTCCATGATTAGGAGAGAGAGTTTGAAGCCATAGTCTGGATATTTCATACTATATGTGGCAAAAATTATTCCTCTGGGGGAATTTTAACCATTTGCTGTGGTGATTTCTTCTACCAGCTTTCTACCTGTGAATGAAGAAATAATGCTGATGAGGAGAATTTATGCATCAAAAAATCATACTCATGGAGAAGCTTTGCTAATTACATGACGGTATTGTCCAGCCAGGAAAAACTATATGCAGATTTCATCTAGCCAATATTTGACAATCCTGCAGAACTGTTCTCATTATCTGGTCACATTATTAGCAACAATGTTATTCCATTTCAGAAACAAAGGCAGAAAGAAGCAAGACTTCACTTCTCCAAACCAGGGGTGAAATCCAGCAGCGGAAATTTTGAGCAGTTTGGAGAACTGGTAGCAGAAATTTTGAGTAGTTCGGAAAACCGGCAAATACCGCCTCTGCCTGGCCCCGCAGTGGGGTGGGAATGGAGATTTTGCAGTATCCTTCCCCTGCCATGCCCACCAAGCCACACCCACCAAGCCACACCCCCAGAACCAGTAGTAAAAAAAATTGAATTTCACCACTGCTCCAAACCATTTTTTTCTTATTTGTCATAGCTCCTGAAAAGATCTGAAAACATCTCTAGCATAATAGTGAGAAACCACAGAACAAACTCTACTATTGGTTTCTATGATCTCATAGTTCTTAGCACTGTACATGGGCCTTTCAAACATCTACTAAAAAACTGAAAATATTCCTCTTTTACCCTTTTATAATAGTAATTTTGCTGAAATGCAGCCAAGCCTTCCTAAGTCAGGCAGCACTGATAAGCACTTAGTTGGTAAGTGTATAAACAAAATTCAGTTAATTTCTCCCAGAAGTACATACTACATGCCTCTTGCCTAAAATTGACTTTTTGGTGGAGAACTCATTTACTCTCAATTTATCTCCAATTAATAGCATTTAGTATGTTGATTATCATATAATCACTATTCAACTTCATACATTATTTTCAGACTTTGTTGTCTTTGGAAGTACAGTATCCGGGGTGAAATGCTCCCGGTTCGGACCGGATCTCCTGATCTGGTAGTGATGGAGGCGGGTGGTTCGGAGAACTGGTAGCAAAAATCCCTGCCCCCCCACCCCATGCCCAGCTGAGCCACACAATCATCAGAGGCTTTTTTTTTTTTACTTTTAAAAGCATTTTTTCTACAATCTCTTTGGTGGAAAAAAATGCTTTTAAAAGTAAAAAAAAATGCCTCTGATGATCATGCAGCTCAGCTGGGATCGTCAAAGGATTTTAAAAGAAAAAACCCCTTTTTTTCTTTTAAATGCCTCTGACGATCCCAGCTGAGTTGCCTAATGGGCAGAGGCTTTTTAAAAAAGCCTCTGCTGATCAGGCAACTCAGCTGGGATCGTCAGAGCCTTTTGAAAGCATTTTTTTACAACCTCTTTGCCGAAGAGGTTATAGAAAAAATGGTTTTAAAAGTAAAAAAAAAAAATGGCCACGCCCACCCAGTCATATTACCCCCAACGAACCGGCCCACAGAACCGATAGTAACAAATTTTAGATTTCACCACTGACAGTATCTGTAAATGAGTTTCTTGACAGCAAAAATCAAAGTCTAAGAAACAAAAAGGAGCAAAACATTTTTTTTCTGTCAGTAATATATAAGGAGGTTTTTCAAAGTAACCTGCAGAACTTTGGGGATGAGGTCCTTTAATGTAATGAACTCTGAATTAAAGAATGAAAAATCAGACAAAATTCTCTTTCTTACTGCTTACTTCCCTTCTTAGTTCTGGGATTAGATTCAGTATAATAAATTTTAACAAAAGGTTATGAAAAATAACTCATTTTTTTCTAAACCTTATTCAAATTCTGAAAATTAGATTGCATTTCTGAAGACCTTTGACACCTATTCAGACAAAATGACACACAGCATCATAATTTATAATCCCTACTATCCAATATTACCTGTATAGTATCATGACTGCAACTTGTTAACTATTAGGGAAAAGAAAATGGTAACTGTGGAACTGAAGTTAGCACTAAGGTACAAACAGATTTGATTTTTATTCCATCTGCTACTGATGAAATTTTAATCATGCCTGCCTGTTATTGTGAATAAGGATTCACTAAATTCATATAGTCCTTGATTTATAAAGGCAATTGAGATCAGAAATGTTGTCGCTAAGCAATTAGGTCATAAAGCATGATTGCATCACTTAGCAATAATAATTCCTGATGCACTGGTTGCATTAACTGAAATAACTACTTGTTAGGCAAGGCAACTTTCTGACAGTTTCCCACAACCAAAATCAGTGGGGAAGCCTGTAGGAAATTGTAAGTCCCAGACTGGCAGGCAGATAGGTGGCTGCTACTACGTGAGAGAGGAGCAAGGGAGTACATGGGGGAATGGGAAGGATCAGGGAGGGTGTGCAAGGGGATATTTGTGGTGCGGTAGAGGTGTGGTAGAAATCAAATGGGAAGGAATGGGAAGGGGTGACTAAGAGGCACAACATGGTCAGTAAGGATACAAAAGATGTGAAGTTTGAGGAAGATTTGAAAGGTGTATTGCAGGTCAGGGAGGTTGCATGGGGTTCCAGGCAGTGCACAAAAGGTGTGTTAATAGGGAGGGTTTGTAAAGTGCATGGAGGGTTGCGGAGGTTCAAACAAGTGCAAAGCAATGCACAAAAATGCAAGGATGTGTAGCAGGGGTGGGTTCTAAATTTTTACTACTGGTTCTGTGGGCGTGGCTTATTTTGTGGGTGTTGTTTGATGGTCATGTGACAATTCTTTAGGATTTAGCAGAGGTACTGGTCTACCAGGCTTTTAACTGCTTGCAGAGCTGTACCAGTCTACCCATTTATTCTTGGAGCGTTCCGGTCTACCCATTTGTTTTTGGAGGCACTGGTCTACCCATTTGTTTTTGGAGCACACTGGTCTACCACCACACTGCCTTTTAACACTGATCAGCTGTAGAGCGGCCCTTTGAAGCCCCCCAACAAGAGTTTAAACAGTTTTTTTCCTTCTAGCCGATCTGCTGGGACTTGGAAGGCAGTGAATAGATTGGGAGCGAGGCCAAATAAAAGAATAATGTGGGGGTGGGCAGCTCCCCAAGAAAGAGAACCGGTTCAGTGACATCATATCATCACCACTACTGGCTTGACCGAACCGGGCCGAACCGGGAGGAACCCACCACTGATGTGTAGTATACAAGTGTATTAAGAAGGTATAGTGACCCAGGAATTTTCTGACCTTCCCTGCCGGTTTCCCCATTGATTTTTTGGGGAACCCAGCAGGACAAGTTGAAAATTATGATCATGTCATTGTGGGGAGCTGCAACTGGTCATATGTACAAATGTTTTATTTCCCAGTAAGAATGAGAAGAACTGAAAAGCTGGAAGCGAGGAAAAAGTGAGAATTTGCATCAATGGAAAATTTCATGCTGCAAAATTGTTTTATTGCAATTCATCTTGTACTGCAACAGATTAAGAAGTTAATCAGCACTGCCATCCAATAGATGCATAAGTATGAGTGCACATGGTCAACAGCACAATTCTCAATTTAAACATTTCCCAAGGAACAAATGAACAAAAGTATTAATGTTCTATAGTCTGGCTGCTTAAAAATTGGCAAAATAAGTTAGGACATTTTTCAATTCCAACTCAGTTGCTTTTAAAAGCATCAGTCTGTCTTGTCAGACACTGTAATGATTTTGTGAAAATATGCAATCTGTGTAGTTATTTGGAAAAAACCCATGGTGATTGTTTAAAATTGTTACACAATAATGTATTTGAAAATTAATTACAGTGCAATTCCCAGCCATTTTTGTTCTGTACTTATAATATGTATAAAAAAGGAGAAGGAAATTGCAGGGGGATCATTGGTGGTAAAATAATGTATTGTGGTATGGCAATAAATTTAGTACAGCTACTAAAAGTTGGTTTTATATTTCCTTTTTCAATATATAAAACATTCTGGATGATATCCAGCTTAAACATTTCAAAATCAAAGGTAAATTAAATAAAACTAATTATTTTTCTATTATTGGAATAAGCAAAACTTGTCTCATAAGCATTACAAGAAGTTTTTATTCCTTTAATCTAAGAGCTGGGACAATGGACATGTTATAGGTGCATTAAAGTGCTCTTAACCTGATTGAATTTTTTGAAAAGGCTAAAAGGTATGTAAGTGGATAAATATATTCCAGAGAAGTTTGAAATTTGTGATTCTCTGAACTGAATTATTCATGATATTTACTGAGATTAAAACAAAAATAGAAAACAGTATGATAAAGAGAAAGCATAGTAAGGAATTTTGTTCATGATTTTTTTAAAAAAAAACAGTCTGCATTTCTGTTAATGCAGTATAATCTCTCAGTCTGGCAGCAGTACACTCTTCAAATGATTGAGGAAGGCAATCCAGTTAACTAGCTATGGTTTCATAAGAATGCAAAATACTTTGCTGATATGTTATAAGGAAATTGAAGAGTCACGCAGAGTCATTTTTACAGTTGAGCAGCCTCCAAATCTCATTAGTAAACAAATAAATAGTCCAGAGTGAAGGATAACTATGCAGTCATCTACCAGGGCATTATTAAAAACTGAAAGAGAAACACTCTGAATCACTGCAAGGTCTAGATAGCAAAACGATGCATCTAATCTCACTAAAGACTAATAATCTGGGATAGCTGAATAAAATAACAAGTGCAGAGCTACTGGGAAAAAGAGCAAAAGTTAGTAAAGGATCCCAGTCTCCCATTCACAAATTGTTATTCCTAACTATTTAATCCACCATAAATCCTCTGTTGTCCTGTTAAAATAGCCATTCACGTATTTTAAATATTCCACATTTTTAATCTGTGCAATGAAAATCAATTGGCAAATCTGATGTGGGCAATTTATATTAATTAATTAAATTGTTTCAATCTATGCTTCACGGGAATATATCTTAAAATCAGAAAAATGAGTCATCTTGATTTCTATGGAAAATTATATATACTTTAGCAAGTGTATTTCTCAGATAGGCTACAAACTAGGCTTTGATAGAATTAATGAAAAATCTAGTTTCAACAAATCTTGAAAGAAAGCCTTGTAAAATGGATATGTTTACTAATATCA